TGTCGACAAGGAGAAAATGAAAAGATAACGAAAAAAGAATAAAACCACGAACCCGGCCGTCTCCAAGGTTGGTGGGTGATACGATTGACCTTCTCCAAGGGACTTCAAATCACAAGCCCGGACCCATCCTGCGGCTGGTGACAACTTCGATTCCTCTCATAGGAATCTCACTAACGCTCTCTCACAAGAAGAACACAAGTGTGGAAAATAAAAAATTTTCATATCAATTCACCATCTCTTACAATAGCTTAAGACCCTTATTTATAGGCCATAACATGAGAAAAAATAGAAAATTACAAAAAAGCCCCTTGGGACAAAACACTCACATAAACTATCCTAGGGGTAAAATAGGAAATACATAAAACAAGAGCTAAAATTCAGAAAATAATACATAAATGAAAATTTAAATAATGGCTGTCGATTTACGACGCCGCTTGTGATAGATGCGTCAAATCTTTGTATTGATGTCCGCATCAGTTGACCATCTAGGGGATTCAAGGGAGAACTTTCTCCCACTAGAGTTAGGAAGCACTGATGTCATCCTGGGAATGAAGTGGTTGCAAAGCTTGGGGGAAACCAAGGACAATTGGGGAGCACTCACGATGGAATTAATGGTGGATGGGAGAAAGATGGTTATAAGGGGAGATGCAGAGCTATTCAAAGCCAGGACATCACTTAAGACCATGGTTAGGGACATACAAGAAGTGGGGGATGATTATCTGGTGGGACTACACAAGCTGGATATGATCAGGAAGGAGGGGGGAGAAATTTCTCTTTCAGTGCAACCCTTAATTCAGCAATTCAGTAAGGATTTTCAGTCACCTCAAGGATGGCCGCCTCCACCGGAACACGCGTATATCTCCACCTTGAGGACAAGGTGGATTTTTGGGAGGGGAGTATTGTTAGACCGGTCCAATATACCGGTCCAGCCGGTCCAGGCGGGACCGGCTCAGACACGAACAGGGCGAAAAACTTCCGCCCGCTGGGATGCCGAGCGAGCCACACACCGTGCGGGAGCCAAATAGGAAAGAAATTTGGGGGAGTTAAGAGGGAAATTTGAATGTAGGGATTGTTTAGGGAATTCCTTTTGATGGGTATGCATTAAATAGTTTGTTTTGCTAGGGTTTGGGTATCTTGAATTTGGCTGAAATTTGAGATCTCTTCGATTTAGGTTTTCTTTGGGCTCTTGGCGTTACCAGAGATTCGGGAGAGATCGATCCTCCTCTCGAATTGAGGATCAATTATATCTTGCTATATTTTATTCATCGTCCAGTGGAATACAAATCTTGCTTTGAGTTTTCTTTCAAATTTCCTTTGAAATACTGCTGTTAAACTGCTGTAAACAGCAGTTTTGCTGTGTTTTCCTGTTGTGGACAGCAGTCCAATCACTGTTCTCGCTGTTTTTCAGAAGATCTACAAGTGTCTCCTATCAGGATCATTCATCAAACTTCATGTTCTTATGCATATCATATAGAATGGGGTTATTCATGCAGCGTCATCTGCTAAACATAACTTGGACCTTGATGTTCTAAATGAATTTGTTTCTCATCAATTCTGCAATGACAAATTTTTCAGCATGCAACCTCAATCGTATCTTATCTATCATTCATAGTGATGTCATCCCTTTCTCTATAATCTATCCCAAGCAATCTCTTTTTCTTATTACACTAAAGTAATTAGTTGTATATTTTGTGCATTCCTTCAAACTTGTGACAAAATATCTTTGCCGGCTCTTCAATGTATATATTGGCGATACTCTCTCTCATTCTAGTAAAGATCATTGTTCTTATGACCTAATTAAAGCAAGAAATTCAAATCTCAAATGTCCCCCTTTTTTTTTTCTTCTCGTTCTACATCAACCTAACTTCTAGACACATATATACTTCAATAGATGTTAACTTTCACAAATGTTCTCCAACACTTTCTCCAACACCTTCTAAACTACCTTCTACACTAATATCCCTTCTTCCATAAGCCTTTATACCTATATCTAAACCTCCACATGAATACATGATGACATTGTCCTCCAATAACATCATTTCATTATCAGAGCTAGTTGAGCATATATTTCATGGAGAGTTCTCTGATTTCCTTATGTTCATTACCATTCAGAAAGGCAAACGACAATATATTGATAACCTTATTTAGTCTCATATATCCTCTGAACATATTTCCTCTAAGCTTCTGACGTTTTGCCTTGTTTTTATCCTCAGTTTTATTCCCATGACATACCAAGAGGCACTACTTGATCTTTGTTGGAAGTAAGTTACATACATGGGATCTAATTATTCCTCCTCTTGGTATTAAATTGGTCCTATGTCAATGGGTTTAGACCATTAAATTTCATTTTGATAACTTGTATTGATAGATATAAGGCATACATGATTGCCATAGCCATTACCATATGGATTCTTTTAAAAAGAAAAAAAATACCTTATGGACTCTTTTGTTTCTTGCCGGCAATCAAGAATGGCCATTGCTACAAATGAATGCAAGTAACACCTTCCTCCATAAAGATCACATTGATGTTGCTTATATTGAGCAAACAATAGGGTACATTGCTCAGGGGAAACTAACATATTAAAGCTCGACGAGGCCATCTATGGGCTCAAGCAAAGCCTTTGGGATTTGGTTCAATAAATTTTGTAAAGCTCTCATCAAAGTTTGCCTTCACAGTAGAACAGTAGATCACTCCATTGCCAAACACGTCATTTAATTATATTATCTACGCAGTCATTTTAGATGACATTCTATTTATAGGGAGTGATAAAAAATGGGTTATTGAAGTAAAACACTCTACAAAAGTATTTTCTGACTACGATCTAAGGTTATCCAAAATATTTTTTGAGAATAGAATTTGTCTACAACAAAAGTGTTTCTTGAGGGAACTAGTCTATTAGGTTGGAAACCAACTGAAAACCATTCACACTCAAAATGCTGCTAATAAAGAGAAATTTTGATCGGAGGTCTCTCTTTATCACGAGTTGGTTACTAAATTGATTTACCTTACTACCACTAGATCAAATATCTGTTTTGTTGTAGGAGTTGTGAGTCAATACATGCAAACTTCCAAATTAAGATTTAAAAAAGTTGTTATACACATCCTCAAATATATCAAAAAGCCCAATGAGGAAAGAACTATCCACTAAAACGGTCACCTAATGTGGAACCATTTTCTAGTGTTCACAATACTAGATCAATTGATGATATAAAGTACTGCTATTTGTGGGAAGTAATTTAGTTACATGGAAGAGTAAGAAAAAAAAGTGGTGGTCGGATCAAATACTAAGGCAGAGTATAGATCCATGTCACACTCTCTAAGTAAAATGATGAGAGTTAAGATCCTCCAAGGTAGACCTGTCAATATTGGACCCGACCCGAAAACCCGACCCGAACCCGACCCGGAATTTTCGGGTTTGGGTTGACCCGAACCCGAAGCGGGTCGGGTTCGGGTCCGGAAAATCGACCCGTTTATAAAAACGGGTCGGGTTGACCCGAACCCGAATATTTCCGGGTCAATTCCGGGTTGACCCGAACCCGACCCGTAACCCGAAATTGACAGGTCTACTCCAAGGAGACAACCCAAGGTCCTAAATTATGACAAGCATGTTGTCATCAATATTGTTACAAATCACATCATGAAAGGGCATAACACTTGAGATCTACAATAATATGATGCTATCAAATAATATATTTACACATTGAGATCTACAATAATATGATGCTATCAAATAATATATTTACTCATGTTTTCAACTCAGAATAACCGGCAAATACATTTTTATTTATTGTTAATGGATTGTATTTATTTGTTATCTTTAAAGATAAAATATTCACTTTCATTACCATAAATAAGAGACCCTCTTTCTGAATAATAGCATTAATATCTCTTCCCTCGACAACTAACATAAAAAAAAAAACCAGTCATTATAGAGTACTGGATATGAATTTAGCTCAACTTAACTTCTGATTAGCCCACTACCCTTTAAAATGTTAAAAAAGAATCCAAAATTAGACTTGGCATTCTAATCCACAGAAGTTGCAGAACATCAACAAATTTGAGTAGCACATAAGAAACCAACTTAGTCTATGCTTCCCATGAAAATGTAAATCCTTACTTCCCAGTTCCTAAAAACCGTCTGGGATTTCTATCATAAGTAGCTGTTGGCCCCATAATACAGCCGCAATAGCTGGTCTCCATGGTGTATAGGTCAGGGGCAACCAATATAATTACAAGCTGCCTAGTGCCTCCATATTACCAAATCAAACAATAAAATGACATTACATGTGCCAAAATGCAACTAGTTGTCTTAATTTGTACTGAAGTAGTTTTTTCTATCTCCTAATTATTTGCATTAAGGACTGATCCTCATAGAAAATATTTTACTCAAGATAAACACAAATATGGGTGAGCGACCTTGCCTCTAGTTGCTCATGTAGCCGCTTTTGCACCTCCATCTGCAACTTTAGTGCTTCAGTTATTTGCATCCCACTGATAACAAAAGGAAAGAGATGCACCTTGATCACACATATATTTGTCACTTAAAGTATATGCACCAAACACCAAACCAAATCAAGTAACACAATTTAAGAAGATAAAGGAAAGCATGAAAATTACAAACAATCACAATGCACGGTTCCACTAAATTCTCTTTCTGAAAGAAGCGTGTAATATCTGTTTCAATCAGCATATCTTTCCATGTCTTATTGTTCTTCAAAGAAACAGAAAAAAATTTCCCTGTTCAGCTCCATCGCAGCATAATGAGCAATCCCTATATGCAACAGGTAAACTTGCAATAACATAGATGGAAAGGGACTTCTGTATTGAAGAAACTCGGATTAGGTTTAAGGTTGCGAATGCTGAGCTAGTTGTGGCTTTGCCAGCATAAGGGCCTAGTGCAATAAAGGCATCTAAACTTGTGTAGGGCAGGCTACTTTGCTGATAAAAATAAGCAAGTAGAAAGGTGCAAATGTTTCAAAAGCTTAATATAAAATTGATATGCCTTTGCAACAATAATCATCATTATTAGCCTTATTCTAACTATTTGAAGTCAATCTTAGAAATCTTTATTTTCCATTAATTCATAAGGTATTAAAACTAATATTCTCAAATCATTTTGAACAACTTCTATCGATGTTACCTTAGGTCTATCCCTTCTTTGTGATCTTCTAATATTAATTTTGTTCATCACGATGCATATTTTATCCTCCATTGTAAAAGCCGAAAAAACCCATAAAGTAATTTCAATTTATTCAATTTCAGTATGCCTATTGGATGTTAGATTCTTTCAAGTAGAACGCAAATTTGATAAACAAATTTCAATAAAAATTATCACTTTATACAGACATGAGGCCTATTTCTTTCACCATATTCATTCTTTCCTTATTCCCTTTTTTTCTTCTGCATAATGCATTATTAATTTTTTGCAAACATTCAAGATTTTAGTCAAATCGATAATAATCTATATGAGTTTCAACTGAATTGCTTATTTTTTATTTTCAATTTTTCCTTAATTTCTTAGATTTTTAATGATTATTGCATTATCTTTGCAAGCGCCCTAAAAGAAAGTGCATGTGCTAAGTAATTTATTTTTAAAAATAAATTTTATTTTAATTTGAATGGTATGTTATGCTACATTCATTAACTCACTATAAAAAACAGTTTGAAAGTAAAGGATTTCATCCCATTAGGAATAATACATTTATTTACATGAGAAGTGTTTCTTTTTATTAAATTGAAGCATTGAACAGTAAAAATACCAATATTTATTATTGCGAAGAAATGATAATTAGAATGACATTAGAAGATGAGAAAATCAATAGTCCACATACAATTCCATGCTTTTTTAATTAATTTAAAGCATTATTATTTGTAAAATACGTGCTTATAATTTAGAAGTCATGATAACAATGTAAGATATATATAATCACAAATAATATAAAAATTTATAATATGCCTCAAATTATAAAGATTGTAGATCAAGAAGAACAGAAAACTAAATCATTGAAAGTAACATATGCCATGAACATTAAAAGGTATTCTTTTATTTTAAACTTGAGATTAATTTTAATTTTGAAAATTATCAATAGAAACTGAAAAACAAAGCAGAAACTGCAATTCCCAACTCACGTGTTATTTCTGTCAAAGAAAGAGGGTAGTTAGTTTATATTTGTGTAGTTGAACGACTAACAAAATTACCATTAAATATAAGTTTCATATACGACACTGATATGATAGGTTAGATATGACAGCCAGTGCTTTGATCTTTTTATATATTGATATGAGCGGTTATTATAAAGTAAGAAAGAGATATGAATGAAAAATACTTTCATAACTAAAGATGAATTTGATAGGAAATACTTGAGTTTGCAAGTAACCCTACCAAATTCGGCGAACAAACAGCAGCCAAATGGCTGTCCACAGCAGGAAAACAGCAGAAATCTGCTGTTTACAGCAGAAAAACAGCACTTGTCCGGGAAAATCTGAGAGAAAACTCAAAGAAAAGCTTGTATTTCACTAGTCGATGAATAAAAACAGCAAGATACAATTGATCCTCAATTCGAGAGGAGGATCGATCTCTCCCAAATCTCTAGACGCCGCTAGAGCCCAAAGAAACCTAATTCTAAGAGATCTCAAATTTCAGCCAAATTCAAGATGCCCCAAACCCTAGAAAAAATCAACTACTTAATGCATACAATTCAAAAGGAATTCCCTAAACAGTCCCTGCAATCAATTTCCCTCCTAAACTCCCTCAAATTTCTTTCCCGAAACCGTCCCGCAAGGCGTGCGTCTCGCGCGGCTTCCGCCGAGGCGGAAGCTTCTTCCGCTGTTTTTGCGATTTCGCTCGTGAACCGGTCCCGCCTGGACCGGCTGGACCGGTCTAACCGAATTTTATGAGTGATTGGTGACGTTTCTTGGATTGACTAATGCACCTAATATTTTTTATAAGGATGATGAATCCTATCGCATCAAAAAATTTTGTTGCATACTTTGATGATATTTTAATATATAGAAAGATAAAGATAATCATTTGAAGCATTCAATTAGTTTTTTGAGGTTTTATAGACTGAGAAATTGTACCTATATCTAAAGAATTATTGTTTTGTGATACTAACTATAATCATCCAATTATTTGTTGTGTTTGAAGATGGGTTGTCTTTTGATTCTAATAAGATTAAAGAAAAAAACAGTTTGGCAGCGTCCATTAATATTCATGAGATCAAAAGTTTTCATGTGTTGCTTTTTATGGACAATTCATATAGGGGTATAATATTGTGATGGCACCAATTATAAAATGTCTTAAGAAAGAGAATTTTAAATGGTTGTGCTTTTGTTGAGATTAAGAGGAGACTACAAATATGTTTGTGTTTAAATTGCATAATTTTAATAAAATATTTGAGGTTCTATGTGATGCATTAGATGTAGGTGTTGCTGGAGCATGAAGTCAGGAGGGACATTCATGCTTTTCTAGCAAAAAATTGAATAAAGAAAAACATAAAATTTAAATTATGATAGAAAATTCTATATTTTTGTTTACTATTTTCATTATTTAAGGCAATACTTAAGGCCTATAAAATTTGTGCTTTATTCTGACCATCAAAATTTGAAATACCTTATTCACAGAAGGAGATCGGATATAGGCATGTCAAGTGGGTTTAGTTCCTGCAAGTAACACTTGGCCTTAAACATTAATTCAAAATTAAAAATCAGTGTGATGCTTAAAGTGGGGTTGTTCTCAGTTTGCCATAATGTAGGTTAAAGTGATTGGCTTCGATCACATTAAAGATAAATATAACACTTGTACCAGCTTTAGTAGGATATATCACGAGTTAAAAATAATAACTCATATATGCTTCACAAAGATTTCATGAATAACAATGATTATTTATTTAAAGAGACATGCCTTTCAATTCTGGATTTATCTAAGAGGAATTTTTTAATTTTAGAGTCACATAGTGATGGGTTATTTGGTATTTGGGAAGAGAAATACAAATCACAGTTAAAATTGTGAATAAGAATTATTGGTCTAGTTTCAAAAAATATGTGGCATACATAGTCTTATGATAGGAAACATTTATAGATTTCAAGTAAATCCTATCAATTTCAGAAAATCAACGAGAAAAATCTTCCACACTCCAAAAGAAAACTAGTAAAACAATAATTTTATTGCAAAAATCAAATGGAATGGAAGAAACAACAAGATACAAGTGATCCTCTATTCGAGAGGAGGATCGATCTCTCCCAATCTCTAGACGAATCTAGAGCCTAAAACTTAAACCTAAGAGATCCCAAATTCAGCCAAATTCAAGATGCTCTAAATAAAGTAAATGTTTGATTAAATTAGTAGTCTTTGATCAAATTCAAGATGCTCTAAATAAAGTAAATGCCCGAAACTTGCGGCTCTTCCTAGAGGCAGAAGAGCTCCGCCCAATTGACATAAGCCAGTACCGTCGAACCAGCTAGACTAGTCCATTGGATCGGTCTAACATCTTACAAAAGTAGGATTGGAAGATAACTAATGGAAAGAAACATACGACTAGGATTTATACACCTTTGCCTATTTCATGTAAGCCTTCGGAGAATGATGATATGGACTTCGTATTAGAATTACCAAGAACCTAGAGGAAATTTAATTCTATTATGTAGTGGCAGATCATTTTTTTAAATGGTTCATTTCATTTTATGTCAAAAAAAATATTGCTTCTCACATAACTAAATTATAGTTTAATGAAATTAGTTAAATTTTATAAATTATCTAAAATAAGTGTCTGATATGAATGTAAAATTCACAAGAGTTATTTCTCTTCGGAGAAAGCTGAGAACCTATAAAAAAATTTCAACCGCTTATAATCAACAAACTGATGAAGAAACGAAGGGTGCTTAATATAAATTTGGGCAATTTATTTGGTTATCTGATTAAAGAGCATACTTTTAGTTCTGATTTGACATTACCTACGAATGAATTTGTATATAATTCATCTAAATAATAGATCTACAAGAATCTGAGATATAGAGTTTCAATCTAGAAATCTAAAACGTCTTCCTATTGAATTTAGACTTAGTAAATTCGGGCAATCATTTATACAATATATACATACCTTGCATAAATATAATTTTAGAAAACTAATTACTAATTATATCAATTAAAAACTCTTTGTTGATGTGAACAGGAGGTAAGTGGAGTATAAACAAGGTGATAAGATAATAGCACATTTGAATCTATAAAGGTTTCCTAAAGAAGCCTTTAATAAATTAAATGCAAAAATGGAAAGATGATATGGCTGTTCCACAAGAACCGCCTATTGAGGCGGTTCAGAGGGAACCGCCTCAGCCGGCCCCACCTGGGCCGGCAATTGTTTACAAGAGGCGGTTCAAAACCACCTCTCCCTACCTAATTTGGGTTGCCGCCTATATGTGGGGCCCAAGGGATTAAATTTATTTGAAAATTGTATTTTAGGAAAGGGCTTGGGCGGTGGAGAGCTTTTAAATAGGAGAGGTAGGAGGAAGTTAAAGTCATGCTGAGATTTGAGTTTCTCTTGGAATCTCTTGGAGTTTGAGGGCTCTAGATCTTGAGTTTTTATTTGGTCCGGTGCAAGGACCTAGAGGAAGGTTCGGTTTTGCCTAAAAAAGTGCAAATACCGAGTTTTTTGAAAAAATACCGAGTTTTTCAAAAAACTCGGTATTTGCACTTTTTACCTATTTTTGACTAAAACCGAACCTTCCTCTACATCCAGTGAAAGGACCTAATAATTGCTCTCACCTTGCGTCTAGAGATTGGGAGAGAACGATCCTCCTCTCGAATAGAGGATCACTTATATCTTGCTTTCTTGTTGGTTTATTTGCTTCGTTTATTGCTATTTTATTGTGTTGGGGCTGATTACGCCCAGATTTTTGCTCTATTCTCGTTGTTTTCTCTCCAATTAACGATAGGATTGCTTGCGAACTCAAGTATTCCCTTAGGGTTACTTGTGAACTCAAGTATTTCCTATCAAAAGACCATTCAAAATTATACAACGTATTGGGATGAACACTTATAAATTAGAATTCAGGGAAGTACTAGAATAATTTTAATCTTTAGTATGCTTAATTTGACTTCATTTCATGAACCTACTATCAATGCTTTAAATCCTTTTCTATTTCTATCTCCTTGTGAATTCAAATCCAATATTTTGCCAAATAATTCTACATAGTTTATAGTTGAAATAGCAATGGATGATGAAATTATGCCCATTGTTTATAATGCATTTCAATTTATTATTTCATCAAATTTTGGGAGTGTCTAGATTTTAGTCAAATCGATTACAATTGACTTCTAATTATGATGTGAGTATGAATTGAATTGTTGATTTCTTGGTAATTGCTTTTGATTTATTTGATTTAAACGATCATTACAATATCTTTTGATAAGGATTTCACAATTTTTTTAGATTACATCAAAATAAAGTAAATGTTTGATTAAATTAGTAGTCTTTGATCAAATCTTCTTTTAGAAATCTATATCAATAGCATAATCTAATAGCATTAAAAACTCTATACTCTTAAGATGCCTCCCATTATTTGGAGATGAAATAGAAGAAGCATTTACCTGGAATTGTCAAGTTTTGAAAGGACATCATCAGATTCTTTATTTTCTTTTGTGCCTGAAAGGATGGCAAATCAGCAAAAAAAAAAGAGGCTTATCATACAAAAATCCATCCAGATGGAAAAGTGAATCTACCAAATTAGCTTCCTACAATAGACAATTCAAAACTAGTACATATTATGACTCCTTGTAACTCTACCTTCAGCTGATGAGTCTGGAAGGTATTTTGCCAGACGGTATTTCTACATGGGTTAAATTAGCAATGTTAGACGACACCTAAAGAAAGCATAAACATAGTATTAAAATGTATGAAGGTATAAAATCTATTGTCTCCTTCACATACCTGCAAGTGGCTTTTAACATGGTATATTGTCAAGCCTTGAACACCCATAACCCTTAGAACACCTTTAGGTGTGGCTCCTGCCAAATTATAGGGCATGAGAGGCATATAAGATATGCAACTTGAATCTTGGTCACTAATTACAGTTAAGACGAAAACAACAACAACATCAAGTCTTTGTCCCACAACGTGGGATCGGCTACATGAATTCTTTTTCTCTATTGTGTCTTATTAAATGTCAAATTCTCGTTTAAATCTAATAAAGAAAGATCATTTCTAATATTTTCGAACCAAGTCCTTTTAGGTCTACCTCTACCTTTCTTAACATCAGTCAAATCTAATATCTCAACTTCCCTAACCGGGTCATCGGAAGGCCGCCATTTTATGTGGACATCATATTTCTTTTTGAATATGACAAGTAGTCTAAGGGACAAACATCTTTTGTCTATGCTAAAGAAAGTTTTCATTAAAGTATTTTTCTTTTTGGTATCTAGAACTTTCCTAATATTCTCCCTTTCTACATAGCAAGGTAGAGTAAAGGAAGGGTTTGTGGGTCATCAAAGAGCATAATGAACAAACTTAGAATGGCTCGTTAGCTTGAAAAACTTGCACTTACTGTCCGGTCCACCAAGTTGAGTTACAGCATCCACAAACCGTTCATGAAGTTCATTTGTCCAACGTAATCTCTGCCTCGAAGCCGCACCATGGAGGTTTTGGTTATTTCCTCCAGCATGTGGGGCCATAGTACTGATATTCATTTCTATTTACAGACCATGTGCCAGAGAAGTGCAGTTTCTCAGGCCAATATTAGAAACTGAACGTTGATATATTTGTCATCATCTGTCAAATAAACAAAGGAAAAATAGTTGGGTACCACATTTGGGAATAAACATGACCATAAAAGGCCACAAGAAGAATCTACGAAGTTAAAAAGAGAACTCTCTGTATGAAATTAGCCACTGCAGTGTCAAGCTGCATTATTTTTCTCTTCGTTCTAATCCCATATACTTTTACTTCACTCAGCCAAAGAAAAAAAAGATTCTCCTAGTCTTCTTAATATCAGTAATAGTAGATGAGAAAGTGCTATTTTTTTAACTAGGAAAAAACCAAGGGATGGGCGATGCATGGAGCTTGCAATTTTACTTTCCTAAGAATGAGAGGCAAACCCAAATTATATAATAAGATTGATTTTTATATAATATAGCTTTAAGCACCAACATAAGTCACGCATTTTTTTGGCATCATTTTTGGTACATCATAGGCCTGTTACCATCTGATGCATTTAGATTTTTCTGCTTAAATTTTGTTATGAACAATATTTTTCTTTTGTTTTGGTTGTTGGAAGTTATCTTTTCTTAAGCTAATTGTTTTCTCTAATCCCTTTTGTTCTCTAAGTTATGTCTTAATTTTATAAAAGTAAGAGTTGTTTCTCTTGTCTGATTTCTCTTTGTGCCTTGCTCTATATTGTTTGCATCACCATCTAACAAGCTCAGTGATCCATTCAATACAATCTTTCAACCGTCCTTGAATAGGCCCTATTAAGTTGTGAGATCGAATGGTGGGATCATGCATTACTCTATGATGTTTCGTGTTGCCTCATATCCTACGATTTGAGCTTTATGCATTGCACAACATTCATTCTCATAAATAGTTGTGTGTGTGACGATAAGATGTTGAAATCACAAAGGATTTATGAGAAATTTATGCGTGCGATCTTTTATACATGAAATCTTCTCTAAGGTGAAATTTTTTTATTGGAGTGTTGTCTTGCGAATGGGCTACAATATCACATCTGAATTGTCAAGAAATAGTTCAATTAAGCACGCCTGCAGTCAAATCGGACATCATTTACCATGCGTCGAGGGGTTAAATAGCTAAAACAATGTTGATAAATGAATAAATTTAGATATGTTTGTTACTATTAAGAATATATACAAATTTACATATATTTAATTGATAATTTATATATATTCACATATATTTATGATGTATAATTTAAAAAATTTATATTTATCCCCCAATTTCAATTCAATTAAACTTCTAACCAAATTTCTCTTCTAAATGGTCCAAATGATTAAAAATCCCTTCAAAAAATTATGACTGTCATTTCTCTTCTAATCAGTAAATTCTTATTTGATTTAGAATTCAAATGACAACTATTAAAAAAAATACTTACAGTAGTTTAGAATAGTGCCTCCACACTACGAATAAATAACACTGCATTATTTTACAGACCTGCCTCATTCACATCTGATTGGACACATGATTTTATGCTATTAGGTGAAGATCTAGAACAATATAAGATGTTTAGTGATTTTCCTGACTTAGACAGGATTGTAAGACTAGTATGGATTGTTTAACACTTGTGTTTTAACTATGCTGGTTCTTATCCTTCCCTAGGCATCCACTTATAGTTTAAGGGGTAAGTCCTACGCCTCGTTCATTTTCTACACATATAGTGTTCATAAGATTACAAGTCAATCTCTTTCTTTGGCTTTGAGTCTATGAAGCTTATTTGGACAATGCAATTCATCATTGCTGATAAGAAATTCCTTGCCAGGTTGGGACAACTACCTTCATGGAAAGTAATTTTGAGGCCTGATAACTTGAGATGATGGATCTATGAAATACTAATTGGGCTATGTCCACAATTCCAAAAACTTTATACCTATCCCATGACCCCATGTTAGCTCATTCATTCCTTAATGTATCACTTTGAAGTCATTTCACGTACTCTCTTTCATTGAAAGGTGGGCCAGTCACTAACTCGGATACAGTGATTCACTCTCTAACCCCATGACATGATTTAGGCTTGAACTGTGAGTTTTCCTCTATTGAAATGACAATATTACTCCTTAATAAATTTTATTAAAATGTCTTAAAACACAAGCAAGATTTCTCTAATTGAGAGTGTTCAGTATCCCCAAGTTATTATTAAATATTGGATCAACATTGCTTTGGGAGTGCTCATGTGGACACAATAAAAATAAATTTAATATGGAGGGCTAACATGGATCTTTGTCATTTACTTATTCACGATAAGCTGGTCTGTTTCTCTTGATCCTCTTTTCCTAACTTGTCCCATGAAAATTATTCCATGGAATTATCATGACCTCTTTCATTTATTTCCTTCTATCTTTCTGTCTCTCTCGCTCTTTTATATTTTCATCCTCATTCTTTAGACTTTCTCTTCTCCTCTCCCATAAATAGCAAGAGAGGATTAGAATTTTTTTTTTTAATGAAGACAATGTGATGATCTTTGAAAAGAGGCTGTCTGAAAGGGGCAATATAGAAGGAAAAAAATTGCAACATGTGCAAAAAGGGGTGTAACAGGAATTGGCGACTCCGCTGGGGATGAGACTCCCTCTTTATTCTAGAAGTTTTGCTTGTGTTTCATGATCTTATACCTATAGTTTATCTTTCTAGAATTGATGATTCATAATTTAAATTTATAATCTATCTTTTGTGATATTTCAATTGCCACAGCTAGTTAATTGATGTCACTCTTTTTTCCCTTCATGCCCTTAGAATTACAGTTGTAACAATTTTTTCATGCAATTGATGCTATATTATATTTTTATTGATTTTTTTTTTTTAATTTGATAGTAGTATCTTTTCCTTGCAAGTAATGGATGCTTAGAAGGTTATTATTATTGAGACTGTGGAGTGAGACCTCATTTCCTTATCCCCATTTTCCAGGGAGGATACATAACCAATGCCTCAAATGGCTATGAGGACACATATAATGTCATCTGAGAATACAATGAAATTTTACTTTTGGCAATTGCTCCCTCTACATAAGCTTATGTGATATAATTGTAAAAATTGTTTATGTGGCTATGAGTTATTAAAGTTCTAGTTTAGGATTGGGCCCATCTTATAAAAAAAAAACTCAAATTAATCTCTCTCTCTCTCTCTCTCACATATAACAATTTAATGAAAATGAGAGAAGATAAGATGCCCTCATGTTAAGGTAAACATCACCTTTGTTATATGAGTCTAGTCTTCGAAAAAAAAATACTCATATTTCTCACATATTGAATTTATTTCCTGTTGGGTCTTAAGACTGGATCTAAAATTAACAAAATCCAAAGAAAGTAGGACTCCATAGACATTACTACTATGTTTAGGTCTTATTTGCTCATGTTGCAGATTAGCTTCTCCTCCTTAGAGAAGAAAATTTCATTTGATGAGTAGGTAAAGATACCCATCATTTGAAAATTTCAATCTGCTCCTAATCATTGCCTCCATAAGACGACGACAACAACAACAACAACAACATCAAGCCTTTATCCCACTACGTGGGGTCGGCTACATGAATCCTTTTTCTCCATTGTGTCCTATTAAAAGTCAAATTATTGTTTAATCTAATAAAGAAATGTCATTCCAATATTTTCTAACCAAATCTTTTTAGGTCTACCCCTACCTTTCTTAACACAAGTCAAATCTAATACCTCTACTCTCCTAACCGGGTCAGCGGAAGGCCGCCTTTTTATGTGACCAAACCATCTAAGGCGACTCTCTCTAATCTTATCTTCTACTAGAGCTACTCCATCCTTTTCACATATATGCTCATTTCGTATCCTATCTCTAAGGGTAAAGCCACTCATCCACCTAAGCATCCTCATCTCTGCCACACTTAACTTAGTATTATGCTTCTCTTTTAATGGCCAACATTCAGCACCATAAAGCATTGCAGGCCTCACTACCATCTTATAGAATTTTCCCTTAAGTTTGAGGAGTACATTTCTATCACATAACAAGCCCGATGCATTCCTCCACTTCAACCATCCAACTTGAATTCTGCATCCAACTTGAATTCTGCTAATAACATCCCCATCTATTTCACCATCACTCTGAACAATAGATCCAAGATATCTAAAACGTGTACTCTTATTAATGACTTGATCGCCCAAAGTCACAATCCCCTCATTAGGTCTATTACTACTAAAATTACACTCCATATATTCCGTTTTAGATCTACTCAAGTGAAAACCTTTAGACTCTAAGGTTGACATCCATAATTCAAGTTTACCTTCAACTCCCTCTCTAGTCTTATCAACAAGAAGAATATCATCAGCAAAAAGCATACACCAAGGTACATCCTCTTGCAAATGTCTAGAGAGAACATCCATGACTAAAGCAAAAAGATATGGGCTTAAGGCTGATCCTTGATGTAACCCAACCGAAATAGAGAAATACTTGGTCAAACCACCTTGTGTTTGAACACAAGTAATAGCTCCTGCATACATATCTTTAATGATTTGAATATAAGCATTATTGACTCCTTTCTTTTCAAGAACTCTCCATAGCACTTCATATGCTTTTTCTAAATCAATAAATATCATATGTAGATCCTCCTTATTTTCTCCTTATTGCCTCCACAAGACTCATGCTCATATATTAATTTCATACAGACTCTACCTAAACTTTAAAAAATATATAATAAAAAATAAAAATACTGAAACCTACAAAATAGATGTTAATATTCACATATATAAATAAAACATATAACATATAAAGGGTTAGACTCATGTCGGATGGTAAAGGTAAGCTTAACATAGCACCTGCAAATAAAGCATTTTAATATGTGACTTACTCATTTACATTCCCCTCCACCGTGGACATAACTCCCCATAGTACATATATCTCTAATTGTAGTGCACATACATCACACTCTATAAACAAAATAAAAATATATCATAAAATATGCAGCTAGCACAAAAAATACACGCAATGAAAAATCCTAACTACATTTTACCCTATTCTACACAAGTATTTTTTATTTTACCTACATCATCTAATGTGTAGAGTCAATGTGGCTGGAAGAGTTTACTCAT